AAAGAAGGAGATTAATTAAAGCTGACTCCAGTCAAAGGCAGAGCCCCAGGCATTAGACAGTGATTTGCAATCCTCCTGCACACTGGAATTAACTGGTGGCTTTTTTAAAAAGGCTGATGTCTGGGCCTGACCCCAAACCAATTAAATCAGAGTGGGGCCCAGGCATTGATATATGTTAAAAGCTTTCCAGGTGATTCTAATATGTAGACATTGTTGAATGCACTGAAATAGATGATGGAATCGAGCATACACAATCCATTAACTGATCTGCTAATCAATTACTATACATATATACACACATATATATGTCACATATTTATATATATGAGAGGAGGAGGATGCCAGGTTTCAGATAATTCAGTATCTTTCAAATAGGTTCAGTAAAACACTAATTGTGTAAGATGTCAATTACTAATGTCTAAAAAACAATAAAACAGAAGCCTATTGGAGAAACGCTGAGCTAAGCTAATTCGCTTCTCTGCAGGACTTTTCAGGGCCTTTACTCTGCCAAGTGTACTGTGAATCTGCACCTTACTTTTTAGAATTCCTTGCAGTTAATACAACTAGATTATGTTCTTCCCCCAAGTGAGGGACACTATCTCTTTTGATCTGTTTCAGTTTTAAGATTCTAGAGTTTATTTTGCCTTTTTGGAATTTCCTATTTTTGTAGGAAATTCTTCTCTCTGCCCTTGTTTGGGGAAGGTCATTTATATTTATTTAAAACAGTATATTATGGAGAATATTAAACAGTGAAGAGACTAATGTAATGAACCTCCACCTACATCAATCAACCTCAACAATTATCAACAATTACCAACTCGGCCAATTTTGCTTTTTCCATTTCCCCATTAGCCTCAAAACTACTCTCACTGGGAAAAATTTTCAGACGTCGTGCCATTTAACTGGTAAATGTTTTGCTAGAGTTCTCTGAGATACAAGAACTTAAAAATACATCTATATTACCTTTATCACACACTATTTCTATCAACATTGACTTCTTAATTTCCCAAATATCTCAATTTCCAATTATATTCATTAACTCATAGCTTTTTATATTTAAACAAATCAGGGTCTACATAATGTCCAAATATTTAACTGACTTATATGTATTTCTTATATCTCTTTTAATCTATAGGTCACCCTGCTGCTTTTACATTTTTACTCTTATATCTTATATAATGAAGAAATCAGGACATTTGTCCTGTACCATTTCCCACATTCTGGATTTTGCAGGTGCACCCCCTGGTTTATTTTAACATGTTCCTCTATCTTCTGTTCCTGTTAATTAGGAGTTAGCTCACAAAACTTCATTATATTCAAGGTTTTTTCCTCTCTTCCCTCCCTACCTCTCCTCTTCCTCCCTCCCTTCTTTCCTTCCTCCCTTTTCTTTCCTTTTTTGGCAAGAACACTAGGCCACATCTTGTGTATGTTGTAGCTCTTTTGGTAATGTTAGCAATGATTTATACTCATTGACTAGATTCATTACTTATTAGGAGCTGCAAAATTCTGTTGCTCTGATTCTGTCATCCATTCTTCATTTATTGGTAGTGGGACTGCATCAATTTATATTTATGAATTAACTTAGAGAGAATCAACATCTTTATAATATTAAGCCTTTTTGTCTAAAAAATGCAGTATGTCTTTCCATTTGTTTAAGTGTAATTATGTGAATTTCAAGAGCATTTTAATGATTTCCTCACGTAGGCTATTTACTTAATTTTAACAATGTTTTCTTCTTTTCCGTTCTGTCTTCCAAAAAGGTGTTTTAAAAATATATAAAAGTCATTGGCTTTACACACTGATTTTACAACTTGCTACTTTATCAAGTTCTGTCATTGTAGCAATGTTTTCATTCATTCTTTTTCAGTTTTCTAAATATATAATCATCTTTGGAAGCCGAATACTTTTCCTCTCCTTTCTACTTTTTGCCTTGAATTGCTTTCTCTTTTCTAATACCATTGGCATTGCAATATGTAAGCAGGTACCCTTGTCTTGTTTGACATCTTTCTACTTATCAAGCATTATAAACATGACCGAATAACGCTGAAGAGTCAACTGGTGAGGCTTTCCTTTCAATGACTAGGGGATATTTTTACAGTGCTAGAGATCAATTTCACATAATAAAAAAGAGTTTATAAAGCTTCAGTACTACCTAAGGGAGTGAGCTGATAATAATGTAATTATTTAACTAATTGGGGTAGTAGATGCAGAGCCTCTTCCATAAGTACTTAGGTACTCTGGGACTCAAATTTTGGCATGCCCTTCTCCCACTGATTCATCAAACTATTGCTGATATATATCGATATATATTTACATATACAATTCTAAATATGAAATTTATTATAATTTATGAAATAGCTCAGAATAGAAATTTTTTATTAGAAGTCAAAAAATGAGATTAGCATCTCCTATGACCTGAAACAAATTCTTATCTAAAGGATCACAACCATCCATCTAATCTTTTAGAGCTACTTGGGGATACCGAGTTTGGAGATGCTGGTGTTTTAGCGTGATTCTTACACCTCTTCTAATTTGTCCCTTTTCTAAACATTTGTCAAGTTCTTATGGAGGAACAATTGTCAAGAACTACATACATTTATTCCTCAGCAAGGAGAACCACTAGGAAATACACTATGAAGATTTTTTTCTTATGAGTTTATTCTAAAAATTTCAATTTAAAACACATTTGTTAACTTCTATTATATACAAAATGCTGCACCAAAAATAATTTCAACCCTGTAGGAACTGACATTCCAGTGAACAGCTAATAGGTAGGTCAAAAAGCTTAAAACAATAAATAAATACTTATAAAGGCAATAATATTTGTCTGGGTTTAAGTCTGAATATAATATTGGTTTGTTAAACACTTATTTGAAAGTTTCCAATGGAATAAAAAAATTAGACATTCACGTCCTATTATGTTCATGTTTTAGATCGTATCATTCAAATCAATGGCCTTTAAAAAGTTCCCATGCAAATTCAAGAGTTCCCTTAGCAAAAAAAGTTCCCTTAGCAAAATTGCTAAGTCCACTGTAAAATGAGTTTGGGTTCATCACAGAGAAAATGATTTTATGCTTCTAAACGGCTTCTAGTTACTATTGTGCACAATAGCCAAGCAAACCTGCTAAGAAAAAGGTATATCTTTTTAAAAAATACTAATTTGTCTAAGAATTGGTCTTACGATTTTACCCATAAATGTTTAGAACTAGTTTTCAATTTTATTATTCATTCTTAGTATTTGAAAAAAATGTCATTCCTTGTTACATAAAAATCTCAGACTGTGAATATACTCTAAAATATATTATTAAAATATTTAGCAGGAAGAAAGAAAAATAATTGTAGTAAAATACATAATTGTAATAAAATAAAAAAAAGTTTTAATAAGAAAATAACATAAATGTTTTGTATATATTAGTTGTCAGCACAGACTTGATAGATGCTTGTGCTGGGGTGTGAAGCAGGGAGACAGAGCATGGCCCCCACGAGAGGCCTGGACCTCGTCCCACCTGTGATTTCTGCATGCTACTTACCAGGTGATGGAGAATCCTGTGAGTCTCATTACAGACATGAAAGCATGTATGTTTTCTAAGATAAAAATGTGAGGAATCAATGCGGCTGCCCATTACCATTCAAACACTTCGCTGAGAAATACATCACATGTTGTTGTGCACACTACTAGTCACTCTTTTAATTGCTCTCTTCCTTATGTTCATCACTATTTTTCTTATAACAAGCAATAAATAAGTAGTAAAACCATGAAGTCTTCATTTTCTATTAATCCACGGACAACAAAGTATGAAAATGGGAAAATATCTAGTCTCCTTGGTCTTATTTCATACTAGACTTCTAAAAGCATGATTCACCATGATTCACCCTGGATCAGGTGAGTCAGCATAATTTAGGATGTACTCACAGGATGCTGTATCACCTTTTTTAGAAAAAAATAGCTGAATTTTAAAAGTTTTTCAGGTGTTCCCATTTACAACAGTAAGAGTGGCTATCCACCACTTCTTAAACAGGTAGAGTGAGTTAGAAAACACCGGAAACTCTATAGTAGCAATCTTGTTTAATCTCACAACTGTGTAAATCTATTGTAATCCTGATTTTACAGGATAGGAAACCAAAGCTCACTATATACCTTTCATCCTGGTCAAGACGGCTGTGTTAGTAAGAGTCACAGGACTGGGTTTCAAACTCATTCTATTTAATTCCTTATCCAGTGTTCTTAACCTCTGCATCATCTAGTTTAAAGTAGAGCTGAACAAGTTATGTAATTATTAACAACTCTCCCTAAACACCATGGAGTTGCAAGTCTTCATGTGCAGCTTGGTTTCCTACTTTTCCACCTACATCTTCTTACTGGCTTATTTTTCCTTCTCTGCCTGGTAAGGTTTTCTATTTCTACTCTCTTCTTTAACACTTATTTTTAGATATACCTAACTTGATTAAACTATTAATCCAGTTCTATTAAGATACATAAAGAATTTAATGCCTTTCATGGTGCCCTAAATTGTAAATGGATTAAAATAATCAATGCCTCTTTAATCTGTTTCTATGGGTCCCATAGTCATATGTATGCATGTCACGTAAGATGAATCTACAAATAACAACATTTAGCATAAGAGAGTATTTCCATTCTGATTTTTGGCCAAGGTTTCTGAAGATCTTTGCCCTGATTTCAAATACAGATGCCCTCCGTCTGTCTCTCTGACCTAGTTGAAACAGTGTAAGCACAACTCAGCTCTTCACTCAGCATTGTCTTTCAAAACAAGTGCCTGTTTCAAAAACACGATTATGGGAGTTGATTACAAGACCACATGAAAAACGACAATTGTCAACAAAGCGGGGACAGTAATTTTAAAACAGAATGGCAAAGTACTTCTTTTAATTCCATATTTGAAAGTAATTATGCAAATAGTCTCTATTGAATTTAAAAAAAAACTAACTCATTGGAGGAAAGAAACATTAAAGATCATAAAATTTCAAAAAACCCCACTTACTTGTTCAAATTCATTCTTTTGAAATTCTTCAAAACCAAAGATGTCCAGTATTCCAATATCCAACGCCTGCACGCTGAAATGAACAATCGAAAGGTGACTGGGCATACTTCAAGCTCTCCCATGACCCCTGCCCCTTGCTCCTACAGGTCAGAGAAATCTGGGCACTTAGCATAGCCCTGCTAATCTGAAGTACCAGTGTGCAAATAATTATCTCAGAGTTTGATGAAAAACTCTGAAAATTAAGGGGAAAAGTGTTCTTTTAATGTTTTGATTCAAACAGAGAACATTAACAAAAAACACACATTGATTTCTAAGTTTAAAATGCATGGTTTAGTGTTTACTTTCTGAAACAGTCCTTCCGTCTCTCTCCTTCTACCAGACTTGCCTTCTCTAAAGGAATGTGTGCCCACCAGCCCATCACTCACCAGCTAATACTTTACCTTGTTAGATTATACAAGCAGGAGTCAAGCAATTTCTTCATCACACATAAGTACAATTGAAGGTAAATGACAATTAAGCCACTTGTATATTCTTTGAGAGATCAAATTTAGACACTTCAAAAATTATATTATGATCTCCCTAAAGCAATTTTTATGAATAAAGAAGAAAGAACACGCAACTTGGTTGTAAAATTGGAAGAAATCAATACCTCCCCCCACCCTCTATTATAAACTGCCACCGGGAATTTGCTACAGTCTCGGATGGTTTCAATCACAGATGTCGGAACCCTCGTGGTGAGGAAAGAAGGGAGAAAAACGGGGCAGTGACGGCGGCCCTGAGAGCTTGGCTTCTGTGAGGAGAGCGGTGGCTGCTTCTTGCTGAGAAAGCCCCCAGGGTGGCTCGGACGCTGGTGGCCAGGCGCGCACACGCCCACCCCTCCACGTGGCGGGTCCAGGGCATCAGGACGACCGCGGCCTCATTTCCCGCCAGCGGGTGTGAGGTCCCGTCATCCGCACGGCGCGGGTCATTTCAGTGCCACTGACCCTGCTCACGCAGGTGTTTTCCTGTTGCTTCCTCTCCACCTGACTTGTCCAAACCACAGAACCACATCGGGAACTAGCTCATTTTGTATTTGTATTTTGTTTTCACCATCAGTGCATAATCGCATTTTTGGGTCTGTAATATGTCACTTGAATGATCATTTTTTTTCTTGAAAAAACGGTAGAGTATTGAGTCTATGATATCCCGCCTCGAAGGCTGTTATACACAGTACAGATATGAGCTTCAGAAGCAGGAGGGAGAACGTTTTAAAAAGCACTTAATATGAATTTCACATGACAAAGAATATAAAGCAGCGAGGAGGAAGAAGAATCATTGAATGGGCATGTCTAAGTAATGGGCTTCGTTTGTAGAAGAAAACATACATTGTACCTCACCTCACTCTGTGTGCCCAAGGAAACTGTACATGGATTCAAGAGTTAAATGTTAGAACAAGAAACTATAAATGTACAAAAAATGAGAAATGGGATTTTTTTTTGCTTTGTTTTCAGATCTGGGAAAACCAAAGAAAAATGTTTAAAAGTATTATTACATAAATACTAACTTTTTTTGCAGGATAAATAGTATCAATTCAATTCAATTCTGTTAGAGGTATTATTTTTTAAAGGCACTGTCTCATTGAGTTTCACAGATTTTTCTCAATCTATTGATAGGTGTATCCTGTCATGCTTAATCTCACATCTATCCATGCTTTTTTCCATGCTACTCTCTCTATAATGTGCACAAAGATATGTTCTGAGTGACGTTCACTCAGTGGTAAAAGTAATGCTGAGGTTTGGGATGATCTGTTGCTTTGTTTTCGTCTGTGTGTGTGTTTTCCATGTTACAAGCTGCACTGTTTGTCTTGTAGGAGCTTAGTGATGAAGCTTGTCAGGCTTTGGAGTTGTTTTGTTTGGGGTAGGAATCCTAGTTCAGACACTTTTTAGTTCAATAACTTTGGGCAAGTTACTTAAATTTTCTGAGCTGCAGTCTCATCTATAAAACTAAGATAAGTAACATGTGTCTACCTAGGTTCTTGTTACAATTAGAGGTGATGCAAATAAAGTTCTAAGATAATAGCTAGAATACAGTGTATCTCCAATCATTAGAAACTGTTTTTTAAAAAATGAGTTGTTTAAACTTGCTATAGAAATGAAGACAATGGCTAATAAAAGAACTGTAAATGGCTCCTAGGCATATTAAAAATGTCAATCTCATTAAAATTGAAAAATAAATAATACTTTAAAACAGTATGAGAAAGTCCTCTACACTTTTGTTGGGAGTTTAAACTGGTAGAGCCTTCTTTAAAAATAATTCAGTTACGTGGTCTAAAGCTTTGAAGCGTTTCTTTCATGTGAACCAGAACTTTCCTGTATAGGGACCTATTCTAACACAATTACTAGACATGCAATTAAAGACTATGCACAAGAATGTTCATTGTTATCTTAATTACAGCAGCAAAAACAAAAAGGAATAATAAATACCCATGCTAAAGACACAATTAATTAGATGGCATGCACCCTATGATGAATTAATTTAGTGAAACTCTCAAGTTAATAGAAGGCAGCATGTAAGTTCTGTATAAAGAATAACCCAATTATATGCCCGGAGATCCAGGAAGAGGCACAGTCAGCCTGAGAGGAGGAAATAGAGATGGTTTTGTTTACTTCTTTCTACTGCTCTGATTTTTCTAAGGCTTCTATAGTGAAACAATATTACCTTTATAACTAGTAAATATTCAATTGATGTTTATAAAGACACTGTGAACACGTGGTAAGTGTTCTTGAACAACAATAAGCTAAAAACTAAAACTGGAACAAAATTTATACCTTTTGTATATTTATAATAACTTTCTATAAGTTATTATAGAAAACAAATCAAGACACAGAAAAAGTTAACAGTAGATGTCTGTTAACAGTAGACCTAGAGGTGATTTCTTAATTTTTTAAACGTTCTATACTGGGTATTATAATACCCTTTATCATTAACCTTTACTTTAAAAATATATGATTAAATAAATGTTGAGTATTTTCTGACTTGGTGGAGGAAGGGACAACAATACCCTTAAGGACAGAGAGCAAAAAGTGCAGCCCAGGGGCAGGCGCCTGCTTGTCCGGAGATGAGAGGTGCACAGGGACCCCAGGAGTCAGGAGAGAAAGAGCAGGGGTGTTTCCTGGTGGCCCCGTGCTGGTCACAAGTATGGATGCTTCCAGCCAACTTCTATCAAGATCTCATATGTGACCTCCCTGCCTGATTCCCAGCTGTCCTTGGCAGCAGTGGCCCTATAATTATAGCACATAATGTTAACAGGAGTTAGAGAAAAGGGCAAGAGCTACCAGTGACACCATGTCACTACAGATGTCCTTCCCCTTCTCATGAGGATGGGGACTTTCTTTGTGTTGACAAGCAGAGAAAGCATGCTGAGGCTACGCAGGTATGTGAGTGAGAAAAATATGTTAAAAAGTGTTCAGATTGGGGAATGTAAATTATTAGTAATTTAGAGTAGCATAAATTTGGTTTAAAGAGCACTTCTTTTAAATGATTCTTTTTTTTAATTTCATAGATACCGCATTCCAAATTATATTTAGTTACAAAATTAAAATGCTATTATAAAAACAAAAGATGGGAAGGAAGGAAAGATCATTTTCAGGAGAAAAATTAAATGCAGGTTTAATGCATTTTAAGGATTACTTTTGCAACTACTGACGGACATAATGTGTCCATTTCTTTCAAAAATCTATTTCGTCATTTATGATTGAATGAAATATGTGTCTGTTTTTGCAATAGCAACCTTGGCAGGAGGGTGACAAGAATTTGCAGCCAGCAAAGTGCCCATACTATGTAGCAGTCAGCATTACTGTCATTTCTCTTATTGATATCTTGACTCAGATTACATAGGCATTTAGCTCAACATCCAATTTCCAGCAAGAAGGAGCAGACAGAGGTCATCCAATCAACCGGGATTCACTCCTATAGGCAAAATGAACATATTCATGAGGTGGTCAGCTTTAGTTCAGATTCTGCCTTAGACTTCTCCTGAGGGCATTCCTGATGGTTAACAGAACTGTCTAACTTGCATTAACTTAGTAATAAAATACAACACCTTTTACATCAGACAAAAAATATTAGGTGCCATGGTCTCTTTCTGGTTGATTCTGTTTTCCATGTCAATGTGGGAAGGCATGAGGTCTGATCTCAAGAGAACATCTACTCTAGAACATGGATGGGCTCATTTTATTTGGGCAGAGAGCTCTGCTGGTCTGTACAGTCAGGTTTTGTCCCCAGTCATCCCTAGGCAAGGAAATTAACTAGAAATTACCTAAGTAAGTAATCATTTTAGGAAATAGCTGAATCCTGCTTGGAAGAAAACCCTGAGATGGAGCTAGAGCTGAATCAGCCGCCTCCGCTGGTCACTGGCCTGCAGGGCCCCAGGGGGGTCAGGAGGAAATCTAAAGCACCCAGGCCTGAGCAATCTGCCTGTCTAGACTTAGCACCTTGGGGGCGGGGGGCTTACACAGGTTAGCTGGGCAAAGTCCCGGGGGACGTGGGGCTATGCTATGGCATTCACTGCCTCTGCTACCAATAAGCTGAAGAATTTAGTTGATATGTTTTATTTTCAATTGGCAAGGTCCGTTCATTGTGGAGGCTGATTCTGTCCATTCCACTGCTTATCTCGAGGGGTTCTCTCCCGTCTGCAGGAGGAACTTGGGTGGAGAGGTGTGGCTCCAGAATGCATCCTTTTGGGGGTTCCCCTCTTTTTTCCTTTGACTGAAGAAAGTGCCCCAGACTGATCATTTTCTGAAAACATCTCGGAAATTAGAGTCTGTACTTGCTCACAAGTTGAGCTACAAGCTGGGGGAAGGGTGGGACTGTTTACCAAAGCGGCCGCCTGCCTCTTTCTGTCCTTTGTGGTACTGTGCATACCGACATCATTTAATAATTTTTTTCTTTCAGTCCTCGCCCAAGGATATTTTTTACCGTTGCTTTTCAGAGAGAGTGAGAGAAACATCGATAGACACATTGACTGGTTGCCTCCCTCATGCCAGGGACCGAGCCTGCAACCAAGGTACATGCCCTTGGCCAGAATCGAACCAG